GAGGAGGAATGGTACTTGGATCACATCTGATACCTGTTTCCTCATTCTGTTCTTTAATTAGATGATTGACACTGTGAGACCAGCACTGATTTATCACATAGATGCGTATGTGCAGAACCATAGTTCTCCTTCCAATCATGCGCACTGTGGAAGGGCAAACTATTCATAAATCAAGGATCATAAGTTGGAGCCAGGCTTTCTCTGCTTGGAGCAGACCTATTGAAATCAATTGAACCTACATTAGTCACTAACTATAGTCTTATTCTTAGTCATGCTGGCCACATGACCCAGAAGCTGTACGCTGGCTCCCTCGGCCAGTAAAGCGAGATGAGCGCCGCAACTCCAGAGTCGGCCACGACTGGACCTAATGGTCAGGAGTCCCTTTACCTTTTTATAGTCTTATTGATTTCAATGGAGTCTATTTTAAGCATGACTAAGTCTGGATCCAATCCAATATATATTCAGAATTGTCCAGCTAATGTGGTTGAGATTGAATTTATTTTAGTTCCATATTCTGGGATCTCTCCTTGACCTGCACAAGACATGGAACACATCATACTCTGGTTACTTAACTGATAGGCCAATGAATTTGTTTAGGGTGCTGTACAACAAATAATTGCTGACTGTTAACACCTCTGTCCCATCCTCATGCTCCCTCCAAATGCTATTTGTCATTCATAATTGAGACTGAGCTACAAAAGGTGATCAGGATCTATTTAAAACAAGCCGGGTAACCCTTAAACCCCAGTTAAAATGAACTGACAGCTTTGTTTTCTTTACACATCTGAGTATATTGTGTGTCACGTACAAAGTGCAACTGTTCAATATCTGGGTATGATATTTGAGGCTATGATACTCTTACTGGGACACCTGGTCACAGAGGAGGTGTAGGTATAACACTTCAACAGAATGCTCCCCCACAAAATGGGGGGAAAGGCTGGCTTATTGTAGATCTGTCAAGAGACCTTGGAATATGCTGACAAAACAAGCCTCAAAAGAAAAAGCTGAGGCCTTAAATCCTGAAGAAAGACCTTTGAGGTCAAACCACTTACCCCAGGGAATCCTGTTCAGGTCAATTCCTGGAGAAAGTGGATTGAGGAATGCAGACCAAGAAATTCTAGCCAGGAAAGAACTAAAAAAAATGAAAAACAAACCTAAGGAGAAGTCTGGGAAACGAAGTGGCCTTGTCATGAAACCAAAACCTCAAGTCTTGAATAGATTTGCTTGCAAATATATTCAGATACCTGTATTTTTTCAACTACAGAGACTATGGGTCTTTGCAACTACTGTCTTTTGATGAAGGCATCCAGGTTTATGGAAGTGATGACAACAATATCACACTGTGGGCAATACACCATCTTTGTCAGGGAAATATCAGCGTATAGGGCAGCATTCACCTACTGAAGCTTCTGCTTGCGCAGTGGGGCTTCCCCCACTTCTCCTCATGCCTCCTGAAACTGGGCTCAGGTGTATCTATTCGGAGAACCCCAAGAACACTACACAGGGAGGGGGAATCATTCTGTCTGATATGCCTGCACAGATGGAATGTTTGTTGAATTCCACCCATGGTAATTTAATAGAATCACAGAATTGTAGAGCTGGAAAGGACCACAAGGGACTCCTGGTTCAACCGCCTGCAATGTAGGAAATCTTCTGCCCAACATGAGACTCAAACCCATTACCCTGAGATTAAAAGTCTCATGCTCTACCGACTGAGCTATCCCATAATTTTTTTAACTGTGAATGCACCTCTTGTGGTTTATACTGAACCAGGGTTTCGGAAAGGTAGATTTCAGAACATACAAATACCTTCTCAAGTTACTGACAATGAAGCATCTTATGGTACCTGAGAATGGCATGAATTTTTGTGGACTAGAGTCCACTTCATTGGACCCATGAGGCATTTTTTCCTCAGTTGGTAGATGTGGATGAAGGGGAGGGAAGTAAACAGGGAAGTCAGGTGGAAATGCAAACTAGTCTGTGACAATCACATTAAAGGGCATTAAATGTATGTAGAATAAGCATAGTGAGCATGCAAAGCAGCAGTCATTAATGATAACACAAATGTCTTTGGTTATTTAATTGATACCTGTAGTGGAACAGGAACATGATTCAAGCCAGAAGCAACAGAACTGAATTTCATGACAGGTTGTAATTCAGTAGTTGCACTTTTCACTGTTTAGCTGTTTAAGAATGGTCACTTTACAAAACTGGTTCATTAAAGAACAATGGGAGAATAGGCTTCGTTTTCTTGCTAATAATAATAATAATAATAATAATAATTTTGTTATTTATACCCTGCCCATCTGGCTGGGTTTCCCCAGCTACTCTGGGCGGCTCCCAACAGAGGACTAAAAACGATAAAACTTCAAACATTAAAAACTTCCCTAAACAGGGATTGTGTAGATACTCTTTCCACTATAATTTCACTATGTCTGAAAAATCAATAAACAAGAGGGCATAGTGGTCTCTCAAATCCCTATTTATTTCAGTGGAACATACCTCTATGAAACAGTGCATGAGTAAAGCCTTCAGTAATATGCAGTCAAACAGACAAGTGAAATTGCCTGCGGTAAGATAGGAATGAAAAAAGTACGAACGAGAGGGTTAATCTTAATTTTCTTAAATAATGTTCTTTTTAAAGAAAGGCAAATGTAATAAAAAATCAATGCCATCTTTTAAAACCAACATGCAATTTATTTTTTAAAAAAGTTTTCCATAAACACTGATTTACAAAATACAAAGATCTCAAAGGTGAAATAAAAAATAAAAATCTGCATTAAAAGTGGTAAGAACCTATATATTATTTTACATATATGAAAGTAGGAGAACAAGGCTTTCTATACAAAAGGATGAATAACATATACACATTTACAAAACTGATGATAAAAAAGTGATAATGTTGAAATTTCTCAAAGCAACACTTTTGTGGTTATAACACTTCCTCCCTATTTAATTATGGGATATATAGATATGTGTATATGTGTTTGTGTGTGTGTGTGTGTGTGTGTGTGTGTGTGTGTATAACTATTTACTTACTCGTTTGTAGAAACCTTTGATCTAAGGTTACATTTTCAGTGTAGATTCTATAATCTATTAGGAAAGGGGTGTACGGGACGTTATGGGAGGGGTAGTACTTCTCGTGGGGGACACTTCGTGCTCCTTCTAGGGTGGTAGACTGTTCACTTTTGGTCCTCACCCTGCACTCAGCTCTCATCTGTGGCTCCTAGAAACAGTCAGAATGTGACAGCGGCCACACACCAGAATGGCTTTGACTGGCCATTCAACTAGAGGAGGCCAGACACACCTGGTTCTATATAATAGGAGGCTTGTGCTATTGCTCATAGGAGTGGTTGCTTTGCAAACAGCTAAAACCCATGCATGTTGTTTCATAAGTAACCCTTACTGTGTTCAACTAAGGCAGTCTTAAAGAATACTCGAGCCACATATTTTGAAGCTGTCTTACTGACTGTGTTGAGACTAGTCTGAGTAAACAGAGTATCACACTTCTGGAATTCATAGGACAGAATATGTCTAGTATTGCTTGGTTAACTTCTATGAGTAACCACCCACTGGCCTATTGTGTTTCCTATGTGCTTTACATGAATGAACATCGTAATTTCATTGCAAGAAATACTAAGATGGTAGCAATCTAAGGCTGTTGAAAAGTGAGGATGTATGGACTCAGTTTTCAAGAAGTATCATTTACTAGGTTCAATTGGTTGCTACCAAGTAGCTCAACTATAACCTAAGGAATCACAAGATTGA